CCCCCCCCCCCCCCACTCTTAGCCTTCTAGAAAGCCGTTGAAACCTGGCTCCTTACTTAGGCACTGGGGCAGAGTGGTAGGAGCCTACGGATGGAAGTTGGGGCACTCCGGGAGGACGATTGAGGCACAGGGTTCTTAGTTTTTGTTATGATTTTTGTAGTTTTACTGTTGCTGTGCAGCCACCCAGAATTGTTTTAAGATGGGAAGCCATACAAATCTTTTAAATAAAATAAACAAACTTAATTTTGTTAACCTTATGAAAGAATGGGGTGTAGGAGGAGAAGCATGGGAAGAAGCCTAGAGGCCTGCAGCAAACGTGCCCCATTCCTGCTGAATCACCGTGATTGAGGATGTTTGTTCACCTCACTGGTGATAAGGAACGCTTCAGTTTCCTTACAACATGTTGCACAGGCTAGATAATATAGTGGCAATAAAGAGAACAAAGACAAGAAACAAATGCGGCAGCAGATGTCATGCTGGTATAATTTGCTACTGACTCAAAGATGGGTAGACAGCATTATAAATGCAGCAATGAGAAAATGCCCAGTGTCATGCTCAAAATGATCCAAACTGCCACCAAGACAGTACTGAACTGAGTTTGTGAAGGGTTATTACGCAAGCTTGTTCTTAAAAAGTGCCTTGCTCAGTTGTTATGATTCCACGACATTCACTCCAAGTGGTTAATCTTGAAAACTGGTGAAGCAGAGTGTGTAGCTGGTAAGGGAAGAAGCCTGTTACAGCTGGGTTTCCCATTAGGAATGAAACCTGTGCCTTCTGAGAAAATCTGGATGAGATTCCATTCCATGAGGCAAGTGATGCGGGACTTATGGGGGGCTGTTTTACATCATGGACTGTTTAGCTCTAACTCTTGTATATCTGCTGAAAGGCAGCTTTCCCTAAGTCATTACCCCCCAGATAGGTCTCCATGACTCCCAGTCAAGATGGGTGTGAGGATACACTGGCCGCAGATGAAAGGGACTGTATTCTAACCACACATCTGGAAAGGCCTAAGTGCTGCAAGACTCCTTTGAGCTGTAAACACTGCACACAGTGCAACAGACACTTTGCCAGTTGCTTCTCAAGCTGTCCTTGCGGCACATTTTGTTCCTACCTGGTGGAGAATCTGCTCTGGTGTGAAACCAAAGAGAGAAGCACCGTCCAGAATTAATTCCTTTAATAACAGCTGCACATGTTTTGTCATCAAAACTATGTTCAAAGCCACTTTTGCAATTCAGCAATTGTGCCCATTCACACTTTGCGGTAGATCTGACAGTGTGAGTTATTTCCTCTAGATGAACTGGTAACATGGAAAAATTTCTTTCTTTTTTAAGACAGAAAGGTTTTGCTTTCCAAAACCCTGAAGCTTTATCAAGAAACATTTCCTTTTCTTCTATAAATCAAAAGCAGCCCCTAAAATGAATTCTCTACCTTCTGAATATTTTGCCTTCATCTCCTGTAATATAAGTGGTGTTTTCTTCTTTAAAGAAGTGGATCTACTACACCCCTGGGCTTAAGTAACTAATTTAAGTAGCCCTACATCAGGATTGTTTCTAAAAATAAAGCAGGATATATATGTTATAAATATACATTGTAAATGTAAAATGTATCTTATAAATATGTGTTATAAATATGTTTCTGTATTAGATTTACTAATGTACTGTATTATACAAACGTTGACATGCTATTTTTTTTTTTTTTTTAATCCGCTTTCAATCATGACCGATTCTACAGAGACTGCCTGGAC